TGTTAAACCCATGAACAGCAGCGCTGCTCATCAGGTGGGTCCTCTCCCTTATTCTACTTACGGTCATCTGGGCAAATCTATTTGAAATGTTCTGCAAATTTAGCATTAGATTATAGAACTGGGAGTAATAATTAATAGCTCATTCTCATTAATTATTATCAGTAGAAAGATTATAGACTAGGGTTCAAGTACTGCTCAATGCGGCCGTTACCTCCCCCAGTTTAGTAGTTCAGAATATAACTATCAGCAAAGTTTAGTGCTGCCGCCATTAAGGCCTGGTTATCCTCCTGCAGCAGTGTGTCGCAGTGAGCTTGTCGCAGATATTTTTGATTTATGCCCAATATTGAAGCGTGGTCTGCGCCAGGTTATTCCACGCCACAACACCAGAGGGCCAATCAGGAACTAGCTGTGGGTCTAGATTAGGGGTGTAAATAATAATCATTCTGTGTCGATGCATCGATCCAACAGCCGACGATCCGATGCATCGATACGTCCGCAACTTAATCGATTCATGTTTTTTTTTTCCTCCGGTCTATTTTTATCCATTTGCTCCTGGGCGTAATTCTCCTCCCGTGCTGCGGTGGCGCTAAACCTATTTTGCCCTCCTATCTCGCTTCCTGGTTATACTCTTACAGCAGTGTGTTGCAGTGAGCTTGATGCAGACATTTTTGATTTATGCTTAATATTAAGGCGTGGTCTGAGCTACACGCTGTGGGTCTAGATACGGCCGAGGCGGCGAGGAAGTGGAGGCGATTTTAGTCTGATGACGGAGGGACATGAGGGCCAAAAAGAGCGGAGATCCAGGTGGGAAAAGGGTCCCAGCATTCTCACTCACCTCGCTCTTCTAGCGGGTCCATTAGTTGCGACGCACACGCAGATGATCTGGTTTCTGAGCATAAACCAGCGTCTAGTGGACATAATCAACGATGAAAATTCTTTTTTTGTTTTACCAAAAGTAACCAAAGTATAGGAAAACCTTCAGGCAGCTGCTGATAGAGATAAAGGTTTGTTCACTGTAATGCTCCTTTCATACCAGAGGCGTTTGGGCATCAAAAAACATGCGACCTTTGCTGCTCGCCGCTCTGGTTGTTTATCTGCTCTGTTCTGTAGCTTCCAGCTAGAGAGCAGCTCGGCTTGATTGACTTTATGAGTTAGAAAAATAGGTTTTTAAGTGAGAAAGTCCACCTCCAAACATCCTCTGTTCACCAGTTCATCAGGATTATAATCTCACTATAATCTGCANAAGTCATCTTTTAAAGGTTTGCTCATTAGTGTCCCAGGTTTCAATCAGAGAACCAATGCAGAGCTAAAGCTGAGGATGATAGGAAGAGAAAGACTGGTCTGATTCCTGCTCCTCTCTAATTAGGTAGTTACCATTCTGACATAGAAAAGTGGATCCTCCTTTTAGGGGCCAGCTGTCTGCCTCCTATCCAGGATAAACTTATCTTAGATATATTAGTTTATGGGGAGCTGGTGCAGATAAACCTCTTTGCTTCTCCTCCATGATGACGTTTCCTCTCTGTGTTTTCAGTGAGGCCTAAGCTGAACGTAAGGCCGTCGGTAGTGAAGCCTGCAGGGCGGCCGGCGCCTGCAGGGCAGAGGAAGAGAGGAGCGGATGCTTCTGCCGTGGCGGCTGTTAAACCCATGAACAGCAGCGCTGCTCATCAGGTGGGTCCTCTCCCTTATTCTACTTACGGTCATCTGGGCAAATCTATTTGCTCTGGTTGTTTATCTGCTCTGTTCTGTAGCTTCCAGCTAGAGAGCAGCACG